ACACTTGTGTGGCTTTGGCAACAAGTTTCCAATGACGACAACATCTGGAGACCTTATTGGTCAATTTATATCTTATTGTAAATGTAATAATCTTTAGCAGCTTATGCAACACTTCACATAGTTAAACACCAACATTAAAAAAAATGTACTCATGAAGTTTTCATAATATTTTGATAAGACATGAAGTATTCATGACACGTTCTTCAAGGTTATTAAGGCATAGAGGGATTTGTTTGATTCTAGAAGAAAAAGAATTATTGGTTGTTTGCTCAACCATGCCATGACTAATAATTCACTGCTAAATAACAAGGGCAAACTTCAACTGTAATATTAAGTATGGTGTAAGTCATGAACCAAAGTGCTTGAATCAGAGCAGTTGGATTGTCTGTTTGGGAAGGGTGACTTGGTGCACCCAAAATGGGGTTTTTTTTCTTTTTTAATTTTGGGGCAGCTGGGACCATTGACGCCCAAGCACTGAGCAGCAGCCCCGGAGGCTGGCATTGTATCTGTGGGACTGAGGATCAGGCTGGTAGGAAAAAGGGGGATGTTTGTGGCTTCCTGTGGCCAATTCTTGCTGGACACAGGGTGCTCCCTGAAAGCATTTAATTTTATTATTATTATTATTACTACTACTATTGTTGTTGTTGCTGTTGTTATCAGGTACATGCTGCTGTAGGTGTGTGTGGTGCTGCTCTGGACACAGAAGGTGGGAAGAGAAAACAGCTGGATTTCCTATGTGGCTCAAGTATTTGAATGGTCATATACTAAACAGAAAGTTATGAGTTCAAGGCTATATGCCCCACTGTGACTCTGTTGGAAAGCAGTGTCCTTGTTGGCATAAGAAGTTTTTTTTTCTCCCCAAAGCATGGCAAGTTCCAGCACCCGACTGACTAGTGCCAGGGCTCCGGGGCTGAAAGATGCAGGGCTTGGCATGGCATGCTGAAACCCAAAAGGTTTTGCAGCATTGCCACACCAAACCCCAATTTTTCTAGCCCTATGCTTGAATCAGAGCAGTTGGAGTGTCTGTGTGGAAAGGCTGACTCGGTGCACCCAAAATAGTTTTTTTATTTTTTTTTATTTTGGGGTGGCCGAAACTGTTGAGGCCTGAGCACTGAGGAAGCCAGAAGCCCTGGAGGCTGGTGTTGTATCTCTGGGACTGAGCATCAGGCTGGCAGGGTAAAAGGGGATGTTTGTGGCTGCCCATAGCTTCTTGTTGCTGGGCACAGGGTGCTCCCTTCATGGCATTTAGTTTTTTTTTTATTATTATTATTATTATTATTATTATTATTATTCTTGGGGTGCACTGATAAAGATTTTCTTGGCCGATACTGATGGCCAATTATTAACCAGCCATATCAGCCAATACCAATCCGATAGCTGATTTACAGGAATGCAGCTGAGCAGCTTGGAGAGCAGCATCCTGCCAGTAAATCTGTTGGGGGGCAGAGGTGGGGAAGGAGAGGAGGAGTGGGGGGGGCAGGTCAAGGCCCCCACGGTGAGGGAGAGAGTGGGGCGGAACCAGGGGCAGGGGCAGGCACAGACACTGCCCAGCCGGAACAGTGGATGCAACCCTGGAAGCAAGATGGAGCCATAGGCAGCTTGTCTGCGGGGTACACAGAAAGAAGGGCAGCTCCTCACCTCTGCATGCACCCTCAGGGGAGGCATGGGGGAATGTGCCCCCTGGAGTTGTGCACAGGGTGAGAGTGGGCTGATCACTGCAGGCTCAGGGTCAGGGGATGCACCAGCCTCTACCCAGTGGGGAGGCTGGGCCAGGGCTATGCTCAGGGTGGACAGCAGCAGGGCAGGCAGCAGTGGCACTAGAAGAGATGGCTATGGGAAATTTTGGGGTGGCTATAGCCCACCCCCACCCCTCCCAGTGCTGCTGCTGCCTGCCTTGCTCCCACCCACTGAAAGCCCAGCCCCGGCTCAGCCTGCCAGGAAGAGGCCAGCACAGCCTCTGGCCCTGACCCTGCAGTGGGCAGCCCACCCCCTTGAGCACAAATCCAGGGGGGCACATGCCCTCCATGTCTCTCCCAGGGGTGTGCACAGAGGCAGGGAGCCACCTGCCCTCCCAACTCCCCTATGCCCCCTGGACAAGCTGCCCATGGTTCCATCCCACTCCCAGGGTCACATCCACCACCCTGGCTGGGCAATGCCTGCCCCTGCCCCACTCCCTCCCTCACTGTGGGGGCCTCGATCTGCCCTCACCACACACCTTTCCCCCACAGACTTACCATCTGGACACTGCTCTCTATGCTGCCTGGCTGCATTTCTGGCCACTTGCATGATGGCTATGCACATACACACAGCATTTACTGGTGACATAAATAAATGGATGATGCTGGCCAAAAAAAAAGATTGCCAATAATGTTAATTTTCCTTTTATCGGTGCTGATCCAATATGCCAGAGATGTATCAGTGCAGCTCTGATTATTTTTCTTTATTTTCATTTGGTGTGTGTGGGCACATCTACACGTTCATTAATGTGCTGTATATATGGCACATTAGTCATTACAGGTACTAAACTTAAACTTAATGCAATGTATTCGGTGCTACTGCACATTAGCACAGATGATTTTTTTTTGTGACGCTACTGAGCATTATACTAAGCCCATGCTAATGCACTAACATGCAGTAAATTAATCTTCTGCACACTGTCTCATGTAGCTGTAGCCTGTGTGTATGGATGTTTGTGTGGTGCTTGCCCTTGGCATTGAGGGTGGGAAGAGGCAGTTGCTGAACTTTCTGTGTGGGTCTGGGGCTTGGTTGTTGAAGTCTTTAGAAAAAGGTTGTAAATTTATGACTGGGTGTGGGTCCTCACCCACGAATGGGTTCCATGTGGTAGAAAAGTATAATCTGCACTAACATGGGATTTACTGAATGTCCATTTACACGCTCTGGGAGTCGAAGTGAGAAGCTATAACAGTTGTAGAACCAGTTTCACATCAGTGCATAACTTCATTAACATCTCCCATTCTGCTCCTATTGAAGTCAAGCTGACTTCATTAAAAGCAGTTTAGGCTAGTGATGAATGCTTTAAAAAATCTTGCCTTTTATTTTAAAGCATCTTTTCCAGCAGTGTATGAAAGCGAGTAGACAGTGGCGACGCGCAGCAGGTGCATGGAGGTGCAGGTGCACCCCCTGACAGGCCACGCTCACCACTTAGGCAACAGGCGGGGGAGCAGGTGGGAGCACCAGTGCCCCCCCCGCAAGCACCAGCCAGGGAGTAGGAGCGCCATGGCATTTCCAGAAGTGGCTGAGATTGGTCACAAGCCTTAAAATGGCCATCAACTTTTTACCACTTTAAAAAAGATCAAATTAAAGTCAGCAAGGTAATTTCAAAGCAGTGGCTGCATTTTATTTGTCATTACCATGGGGATAGCCCAAAGAGAAGAGGGAACTGAGAGAGACCACCTGATCAATGCTGCTACCAGAAGTGGTCCGTACTTTGAGACATCTATTTTGTGATTCCTAAGTTTTTTAAAAAGTGATAATAATGATAATAATAGAATACCCCAAAATAGCTCCCTAAATTCTGTAAACGTGAGTCTCCATAACAGCGAGTAGAAGGTGAGCAAGGACATTTCCCGGCTGGTAGTAAACTCCCCTCGCTGCAGGACAGGCATGTACACTACAGCCCACTTCATTTGAGCAGTGGTTCTCAAACACCTGGGAGTCAACACATGCCTTCTCCTGCCCTGTACTCCTATACTTCCATACTATGGATACTTAAAACCTGGTTAAGTCACTGCCATCAACCTTATAGCCTGAGATATGGCAGAGCAGCTCCTCACTCCTCTCCCAACACACTTTTTCATCCTTTGCCTCCATTTCTAGTTCCTTTTCCTCCTCCTGCTGTCCCATGAGGGTTGTCAACTTTGTTTGAAACTAATCCAGGAGGCACTGACTATGCGTAAGGGGTGCACGCAGGTGCACATGCACCCCCTGAGCGTGGCAGTGCACCCCCTATGAAAAGGCACCGCTGACACTGCTGGCAGTGCTTATGGGCAGTCACTGCTCGCCACCCATGCCACCAACACCCCTGGCGGTGTCTCCAAGCAATCCACCAGCACCACTGGTCAGCACTCGCCACCGCTGCCAATAGCGCCACAGCTGCCTATGGCAGCTCCACACTTACCAGCGCCATGGTCCCACTGCCAACGGCACCAGCACCACCTGCCGGAGCTCGCTGCCCCTCCCCAGCCGCTGGGGACACATGGTGTTCACGCCAGGACGTCTCCTGAACGCCAACATGCCTGCAACACAAAACCAGTGTGCCCATGTGCTCCTGTATATCAGTTAGATTACAATGCATAGATTTAACATCAGGAAGGCAAATACAAAACTTACCTTTTAAAAACCCGCTGGGCTACTGTTCAAATCAGAGTCAACATTTTATACGTATTTAAATGAATGCCCTATCATTCCTCCCCCCGGGTGCCTCTCGGGGGTCTCCTGGAGGTCTATGTAATTCCTGGAGACGCCAGGGCAGGCCGGGGGGGTTGGCCGCCCCATGTCCCATTCCTCCCTCCCCTCCCCCCCCCCAGCGGTTCTCAGGCTTTCGGGACTCGAGGCCCCTCCGGGTCCTTTGCGGCCCCGCGTTTCAGGAGCCGGTTGATCGATGGCAGCCCCCCGCCAGGGGGAACAGGGCCGCGGCGGGGACGCTCCGACAGGGACAAAAGCTGAGCCGGCCCCTGTCGGCTCCTCTCCTCACCCGCCGGAGGAGGCTGGCAGAGGGCGGCACCTGCCTCCCCGCGCCTCTCCGGCATCCGGGACTCCCGTGGCCTCAGCACCCAGCGCCCGCGGATCCGGATTGGCTGCGGGAAGCAGGGGCCCTGGGGAGCCGGATTAGCGGGGGGAAGGGGCGCTCCCCCTGACTGCGGAGGAGCTGGCACCGGTGGGCGGGACGCAGCGATGTCCCCGGGCCCAACCCTCGCCTGTCTCCGGCGGTTGGGGCGGGGCCAGGCCCTATGGAGAGGGCTGGGCCGGGCGAGGGCGGCTGCTTTTTGCTCCGGCGGCGGCGAGCGGCAGCAGGCGGGAGCCATGGCCACCTTCGTGCAGCTCAACACCCAGGCCAAGATGCCCATCCTGGGGCTGGGCACCTGGAAGGTAGGCGCGGCCCGGGATCCCTTCGCACGGCGCCCGCCAGACGCTGCCCGGGCAGATGCGGCGCCCAGCTGCGGCTGTGGAACGCCGGGGCAGATGTGCCCAGCTGCGCCGTTTCGGAGCTGCCCTCGCCGAGCGGGTGGCGGACGCTTCCGACAGGGCGAGGGGAGCCGGGTGCTGCCCAGCGCTGGGTCCTCGTCTCCCCCCCCACCCCGCTTGCAAGTAGCCGCTGTGGGAAGGAGACCGGGCCCTGGTGCTTCCTCCCAGTGAAATCCAGTCTGTTTCGCTATCGCTCGCCTGGTTTTTCTGGTGTTTTGGGGGATCCCAAAGGAAAGTTGGGAAGGCCTGCTGCTGCTGGTGGTGGTGAACTCGGGCTTTCCCTGTACAAAACCCTTCAGGATTGCCCTGGAGTCTCCAGGAAGTAGGTATAAAGCTCCAGGAGATGCTGAAAGTCACTGGGGAGATAAATGATAGGGCATTCATTAAAATAAATATTAAATGTTGAATCCGATTTATACAGTAGTCCAGTGAGGTTTTTTTTTAAATGTAATAGTCATGTGCATTTGCCTTCCTGACGTAAAGTCTATGCACCGTGACTGATATATGCATGTTTGCGTTGTGTGTCTCAGGCACGCTGGTAAATCTCCTAGAATAGATTCGAACAAAATTGGCAACCCTGTTACAAAAGCCATTCAGTTACAGACCTAAGTGCAGCAGTTCTCAACCTGTATAGACTCAAGGCACAAGCCATCACTTCCCAAAGTGTTGCAGCTGCCCCACCCCCTCCCCCATTTCAAAGCCTAATTTCATTTTATTTTATTTTATTTTTTTGAAAATCAAGTGACTCTTCTGTTGCAGAGAACTAGGGTAGGCCACAGCAGGCCAGGTTTAATACTGGATTTCTGTTTGAAGTCTCTGGATTTATCTTGTGAATCGCACACAGAGGGACACCAAACAGTGCTAATGTTGTGCAACACCTTTAAAAGGAGCTCATGGTGCCTGAAGGTGCCATTGGGCCCCAGTTAAGAGTCACTGATCTAAATGAGACTCTTTGCTTCCTGCAAAGATGCTACTCTGGCATAGGTGACTGGTAGGGGAGGTATGGGGGGGCACATGACCCCCAACAGGGCCAGCAACACCGCCACCAACTTCTGCAGGTGCTCACCAGCCTCAACCCGGCTGCCAACACTGACGCTGGCTTCTGCGGGTGCTTGCCAGCCCTGTCCCTGATGCTTACACTGGCTTCTGTGGGTGCCCACCCAGACTCAGGAGGCACCAGTTGCCCAAGGAGGCACCAGTTGCCCATGCACTGTGGTGCCTGATGGCTCCATTACTGTCGCTTTAAAAGAAAACAGATGTGCAAGAGTAACTTCCAGAAACCTCAGGTGGGCCAGAGCCCTCTGCATGCTGTACTGCATAGCATGTCCCTACTTAATGTGTATTGATACTGTCTCCCAAAAAGGAGGGAGAACATGGAGAGAAGTGTGATCCTGGCTTGTTCACCAAGGAGAGGAAATAGATGGATTCTGCTGACTTCAGACTCGATGGGACTTGAAAGAAAGTCTTTGTCTCAGCCTTTACAGCTAAAAACAAAGCAAACCAGAGATGATACCAATCTGAACTGCAAGAATATTAAGAATCTTAATTAAATGACCATGAAGAGCTTCTAAGTCCTCTGAAGGTTTCCATAGCAAGTGTAATTATTATTAGAAATCTGGCCACTTGCAGAGTATCTTGTCCTGCTAAAAAAAAAATTAACTTGTCTTGTTTAAAAAAGTGATTTCTGTCTTATGCTCGCTTTTTGTTGTTTACATTATAATTTAAATTCCAGACAGTTATGTGTAAATAGAGCTTTTTGAAGGAAAGGGGGGTAGGAAATCCTCCCGCCTGTGCTATATGCAGTGATCTCACTCTCCAGGCTTACCCCTGGTATTTCCAACCCTGCACTAATGTGAGGTGGAGAGCTGAGATGTTAACCTACTGCAGATCCCTAATGTAAGGCTCCTACAACAAACTCCAGGTGTGCACTCCAACATAGCAGTGTGCTGAGCAAGATCATATACAAAGCTGTTCATCAGCTAATATTGTTGACTGCAAAAATACAATGAGGCAAGGGTCAGCAATCCCCAGTGGCAGGCTAGTTGTAGTCCACTGAGCTTGGGGACTTTGGTGGCACTTCTGTGGGAGGAGCTTCGTCTTTGCAGTGGTCCGACAGTGAAGAGAAGCTGCGAGAGCCATATGGGTGGTGTAGGCCAGGTTGGAAGCAGACCACATTCATAGCTAAGCTCTATTAAAGTAGCCCCCCACTACAAAACATTACCAACCCCTGCAACAGAGAATTTGCAAACCTACATGTCCCAGTATCCTTTATCTGTTCATATAAGCAAACTCTCTTAGGTTTCTTTCCTCTGTATATCTTCCACTGTGACATAATAAGGAAGAAGATCATACTGATTCTGTACTAAGCACCTGACTCATCCATCCAGGCTTTGAATGCTGGTTTGTAGGTTTGCTGCCCAATATACTGAAATCTGTGCCTACATATTTCTTTCTCCCCTCTTGCTCACACTAAGAAATTGTTTTGAGCACATTTTTGAACTTCTGACTCATAAGAGTTTTTAAAAATCAAATAACGATTACTAATGATGCAGCTGGATTATGCTGTATCTACAAATGTCAGTGCCATCTGTGCAGCTTGGACAAAACCTTTTCCTTCTAATTGTTTTATCTAATAGATGCTACAACATCCAAAATCAAATATAGGCTCTTAGAAGGTAGATTAAAAAGTGATCTGCATTTTGAGTAGTCTACCCTCAAGGACTGAGTGTGGTAGTTCTCTCACTGGCTCCTCGAGTTCTTAATTTTTGCAGTCGTTCAGTTGTAACAGGGTGTAGAGCAATGCTTCTCAAGGGGGTGCCTTGAGATCCTTTTAGGGGTGATGTAGGCAACTCTACAGTGTTGCCACTCGCTGTTAGGTATGCAAACATGATTCGATCGCAAGATAAACCCAGAGATTTCGACTAGGAATTCACAGTGTTACAAACATTCTCACCTGTTGTGTTCTTTCCAAGTTCTTTGCAACAGAAGACTTGCTCTGTTGTTTTTCTGCACTTAAAAAAAACAGTAATGACTAAGGACTGGCAATTTGCAAAGGTTGCCTTCAGTCTAATAAGAGGTGCCTCATGTCGAAAGGTTGAGAATCACTAGTATAAAGAGTCCTAACCCTGATTCGTGGGGCAGTGCTTAATACTCCTCTTTCAGTCAGGAGATCAGTCCCAGATAAGTGTGCAAAATGCAGGGATTCAGAGAGCAAGGCAATGTGTGTTGTGAGAAAACAAAGCTAGCTCTAGGAAGGTCCTCTAGGACAGGGTGGAGCAAGAGGAAAAGTTTTCTAACTTTATGCAACAATTGGTATCAGTGCTTTCTGCCTTCTGGGTGAGGTAGAGGAAAGCTAACATTTTGTGTATCCTGTCTGTTACATGAAGCATTGTTTCCCAGACTGTGGGGGGTACCCCATTGTGGGGAGGGAAGCACATCATAGCTTTGAACAATAATTGGTGGCTTAAGTAGGGAGACACGAGTGGTTAACCTTACTGTAGTGTGACATAAACCCAAAACGTTTCAGTTCTGTTTCTGTCCAATTAATCTTTCAGTGGGTCAGTATCATCTACATCTCTGCAGCCTCTCTCCTGTGAGATATTTCCCATTGTCCTTATTAATAATTAGATTTTCTGTGCATTCTGTTTATGAAGCAGAACGATTTTACAGGAGAAACTGGATATTTGTATCCTGTCATCACAAATGTGAAAACTGAGGGACAGAGAGATCAAGTGATCTGGCCAACTTCTTGCAACATCAGTTTTCTAGTGGCCAGACCACAGAATTGGCTTCCTTTGAACAATTCTCCACTGCTTGGCTATAGTATAAAGTGGTTTTTTTTTAATGGACCCTAGGCCAAACTTTTGCTGTGGGATTAAGGGTGGTGTTTGGGATGCAGCCATTAAGTCAAATGGTAACTGAAAGCAGTCTAGGCATGCTGGTCCAAGCTGAGTAATGCAGCTGTGCCACCTTCAGTATGCAAGCTAGTCATCCCAAGTGTTTTTTTTTCATGCAACACTCCATGCACCATTTTAACTTAATGGCTGAAAGGTGCCCAGATGGGATGGTTATAACAGTCTCTGGAAGAATTCTGTATGTGCAAGTAAAATACAAGAGTTGGACAGGAAGGGCCCTGCTGAGCCATCAAGTTCAGTCCTTGACTTGCTTGAACAAAATCTTCTGCTTCCGTTTTATCTAGCAGATGCTATAGGTCTTAGAATCAAATATTGGTTCTTATATGTCAGTCAGTGGAAATGATCTGCATTTTGTCTAACTATGTGCCCTGAAGGACAGAGTAGTACCTCTTCTGCTGGTATATGCACATGCATATTTATGTGTGTATAAAATATAGTGGGGTTTATTTTATATATAAAAAAAATTAAAAAAAAAAACTTAATGGTGTAAAAGTCTCTTGATGTTTGCGTTTCTAGCCAAATAAGAAATGGGTACTAATGTGATGGCGCTGTATGATATGTGTGTTTCAGTCTCCACCAGGGAAGGTTGCAGAGGCTGTGAAGGTTGCCATTGATGTTGGATATCGCCATTTCGACTGTGCCTACGTGTACCAGAATGAGAATGAAGTTGGAGATGGGATTCAGAAGAAAATCAAAGAGGGAGCTGTGAAACGGGAGGACCTCTTTATTGTTAGTAAGGTATGGCTCCATGAGGAGGCCCAGATCCCAGAGAAGCAACCGTGCCCATGGTGTGCCATTTCATATCAGGGATAAAACATATAAGACAGAATTCTGTTTTACTTCATGTGCCCAAACAGCAGTTACCCAATCACATAACTGCTATTTTTGGTACTTAGAGCTTGTAATCCTATTCCACATGCAGTGAGTGTGTGTACATCCATGTGGCTAGTGAGTATGCTCAGTAGGCTGTTCTCTCCTCAGACAGGTATCTAGCTCTGTATGTATGTATGTATGTGAAGGTGAAAACAGACATCCTAGTCCCTTACTGAACACCAAGTGCCCAAAAATATTGCCACAACCAAAGATGGTCACAATGTGATGGATTGAATAGGAGAATATTTGTCCTCTTATTGGTCACTTTGAGAATTCTCATTGCAAACATGCTTCATGAATACCCCTGCATGGGATTCCTGTGGCTCACGTGCCTTGCTGCCATGCCCTGACTTGGGATGCATGTCTGCAGTTGGAAGAACGTGAATGATGGTTCCCCTGATCCTGCAGGACAGTGGCCACAACAACACTGGTAAACACCACTGAAGCAGATCAGCTGTGGTGGGACATATTCTGGCACAGCTCATTCTGCTCCAAAGACGTCATCTGTCCTGAATAGTGGCGGTGGTTGAGGAGGATGACAACCATCCTCCCATCTTTTAGCACGCTATCAGAATGGTTAAGACATTTCCACAGGATAAAGAAGACACAGGTTCTAGGGCCCTCTCACCCAGAAGGGTTGAAACCTGTATCTCGGACTTCCCAGCACAATTCTCTAACTATTGAACTGAGGATTAGGCAGTATCCAGTCCCTTCTCCAGCACTTCTTTTGAAGCTAAGCCACCGTCCTTTGCATTTAATATTCATTGGATAAAATGGAAGGAGAGCTGTACAGTAGATAGGTTTTTGCCCATTTAGTGGCAAGAGTCCAGGACATTCTCCCTTCAAATGTAGCATTCATCCTGCTGAACCATACAACTTATAGCTTGTTTGCTTCCTCCTGGCCTCATGTTTCTCTTGGCTGCCTAGAGGCAGCTTATGCATCCCCACTGCACATGAAGTAGGATAGCAAAGTTTCCATTAGCACCAAAAATGGCAGATATGTGGTTGGGTAACTGCCCTTTGGGCATGTAAAATGGAGTAGGATTCTGCCTATAATATCCTGAACTGTTTCTATATGATCAATATAGAGGGTGTCCAGAGGGGACTTTTTTTCATGCTTGGACTGGTGATTCTCTAGTGTGTGTGTCATCAATGGTGCTTTGCTGATCATTGGGAAAAGGGACAACTCTTTCCTGCTCACCATGCAAGGCTTATAATGTACAGTCTGGAGCTTGACCCCAAGTAAGAACTTAATGGCTATTAGGCACCGAGTTGTCTCCCACTTTCAGGATGGAGAAAATGTGATAACTTGTTGCCTGGCTCTCCTCCCCATCCTATATCTGGAAGGGGAGTCCCAGTGGATTGTGGGGACTTTCTTGGTCACTCCAAATCACACATTTCTGAAAAGTTTGTAGGTTCTTTTGCTTGTGTGGGTAGCAAGGGGGAGGAGGAGTTGTTGCTCTAAAATTTATCTATGAAATCAGTGGGCACTTGCAGCCTCTCATTTCCAGTCTGAGTTGTCTGGTAACTAATACATCTCATGCAGAGGTTTTCATCTTTCTCAGGTTTTAGACTGAGAGGTAAGCTTTCTTTTGCTTTGTAGTATTGTTTTATTGGAGGTGCAACTTTGAGTAAAAAAATAGTTCCTGAACTGGCAATTACTCATGAAATCAGGTTCCCAGATTCCCATTCTGGTCAAATAAGCTGCCACTAAAACTGTTAGCATCAAACAATGTTCCTCTCCCTCTGCTCCACAAGGTAAACCCTGCAAATAGAGTGATAAATAGTACATAGTTCCTGGTGTTGCCTGCTGTACATGTGATGTGTCTTTAACCTGTTTGATGATGTAATCGCTTTTACATGATTTTCTTTTTTATAGCTGTGGTCCACCTTCCATGAGAAGTGTCTAGTGAAGGGAGCCTGCCAGAAGACTCTTGATGCACTGAAATTGAATTACCTTGATCTATACCTCATTCATTGGCCCTTGGGATTTAAGGTACTAGCACATTAACTTGTTTCTTACTGACAGCTGCAGAAGGATATCATGTTATAGATCCACCCATTGTTGTGGACTTATCCCTGCAATGGGACATATCAGTACCACTCCTTATGCTTCTTTTTTAACTTTACCATATACATATCTGAGCAAATTTATCCCATCTCCCCTCCCTCCTTACCTCACAACTGAAGACAAGCATAGTAATTGCACAGAATTCTCTGCCCCTGTTGATCCAGGGAGAGAGAGGCCTAGAAAAGGCACATCTCTCTTTTGCAAGAGCAGGTTATGTTTAACCATTTGGTTATCAGTTCCTTCACTTCTACCAACTCCAGCTATGTGTATTTGGCCATGACTTGTCTTTCTACTTATGGGACGGAAAGGTGTGTTTTTGACTTCTTGATCTTGACTTAATGATCATAAGTGTTTTTCTTTTGTATTTTTCATTATACCCCTTTTTCACTGTGTGTCTAAATGCAGCATAGATTTATAGTTAACAGTTATAGGAGCCTTGTGATTGAATTCCAAGGATCATGGGACAAAAGCAAGAACTTCAGTTGTAAAACCCATATGATGACTGTGGACATGCTTGAAACCGTTGATGTCTTACTTTTCATATTGTATCTTGGCCCTTCCTTACTGTAAGAGGTTGCCAGGAATACCTTTTACACATTGTGTTCAACTCCCAAATGCTAGATGCTCTCACGTGTGTGTGTCATTTTGACTGTGGACAAAGCAGTTGAAATAAAGGGCAGTTGTGTAGGCCATCTGTAGAGGAGCTTAGGCAATAATAATAGCAAGTATAT